TAAAAATGTATAAATATATAAAGAGTACAATGAAGCAAATGTGGCAAGACATTAAAAGTTGGTTAGTCATTACGCTTTTTTGTGCAACTCTTTTTGTAGACTAAAAACATCCAAAAAATGGGGAGATGAGAAAATAATATCCTACTTCAAACTGGACAAAAGAAGAACCCCTCAGTGTGTATCTCACTGTACTAAAAGTCCAAACTCCTCATGATCTACTCACCTTTGAAAGGCTAACCTACGGTCATCAGTCAGGTGTCAAATTGGAAGTGATTCCCTCAGGTAAGCCTTCCTAGGCATCAAAGCCAGGATGGCGTCTCCCATTTTCAATACATAGCAAGTCACATTACCCCTATGTCTGTAATGATCACTGTGGTGCCCTGGTCTGTGGCTCTTTACCTGCCATCTTCATGAAGAGAGACACCAATCTGTCTTTTGTCTGTTGCTCCCCCCAATATGCAGCAGAATATCGAATCCTCGGTTGTAGACGTAAGTGCTGTCCAACAGATACATCTAAATTCTTCCTCTCTGTGGCAACCTCTCTATGCTAGTTTCATCAAAAGTAAAACTATAGTGCCTCTCTGGGTTGTTATAAGTTTGAGATGATTAACTCATGCAAAGTCCTTATAACAATACCTGCTGTGTATATGCTGGATGAGTTTTGGCTGTTACTATTACCTATCCCAACAATATAATAACAATTTTAAATGTGAAAGGTGAAAAGTTAATTCATCAGGAACAAAAGGGGAAACACTGAATACCATTAAGAATAAATCCCTTTTTTCTTCCATAAAACGCAGGAAAGAGATTTAGAGTGGAAATCTGGGTAATATGTAAAGGAAATCTGAGAGACCAATTGGTTAAAATCAGAAAGCAAGAGCGACCAGATTAATACCAACTTCCATAAAAAAAAAAAAGAAAGTCAAGGGTATTAAGGTATTAGATTACAATCATAGGAAATAACAAAAGGTCTTGAGGAGAGGAGCATCCAAATATAGCCATTAATTGGGAGAAGTCTCACAAAGTCCTAAGAGAAGTGAGGGTGAGAAAAACAAATTTAACCACTAGAAAATTTGTCATAAACTTGCAATAATGGACAGAAAGAAAGAGGGAAGTGCTATTTTTGGAGGGTTCTTCAAAAGGCGGACACCCAGGTCCAGGGAGGTGCTGGTTCTTTTGCCACAGACACAAAACACAACCTGCCCACGGACATACACGTGTCCAAATGGCAGAAGTTGAGGTCAGGCAGGAGCCATTTTGCAGAGGGGACGCAAGCATCACTCAAATAAGGAGGTATTGACCTGAAAAGGTGGACATGACTGCCCTGCAATGCCCTGGGGATGAAGCAGCCTAATAAAAGTGCTTATAGCAAGAAAGCAAAGCCCTCTCGAAACCAAGCCATTTGTGCACACAGTCCAGATGCCACTTGGGGAATCAGAAAGTTAAAGACACCTGCACGGAATGGTATTCAACCCAAATCTCGAAAGTTTGGGTCTATAGCCCAGGACTCAGGGAAGAATGTCTTCAACTTCCACAAAGCTGCAGCTCATTCAATTCAAACTCCATTCTGTTTAAGGTGGTAGGTGAGGGCAGGAAGAAGGTGAGGGGGGTGCTAAGGGAAGGAGAATAGAGAGGGAAAGATGGAGGTGAGGGCAGAGGGAAGGTGAGGGCAGGGGGAAGGTGGGGGTAGGGGGGTGGTGAGACAATTTGCCTCAATAACTAATAATAAACTTTTAATTTTATATTCAAAGTTCCCATTAAATTAAAAGGTGGAATTGTTTAGCTTAAACAGACTTAAGCTGAAGATGTACAAAACCCAGAGAAGTTCAGAGTTCCTTAAATGAACTCTGAACAAGCCCATGCTATGCACAAAGAGTCAAGCATATTTTATGGATCAAGTTCTTACAAGTGAAAAAATCTGAAAAAAGACATTAACAGTCACAGTCAGTATTGAGGTAGAGCAAGTATTTTTAAATACCAAGACCTAGAGAACAGAATTCTCAGTTGGGAAAGAAGGGTCTTCTATTTCTAAGGTCACTTTCAAAGACCAAAAGACAGAGCAAGAACAGGATAACTTACATTATTTATTAGGATAGGTTATTAAAAAGCAGCATGACAATAAATGCAATGATAAAAAATTACTCTCTAGAGTTAAAAGCAGGGCCTCCCTGGTGGCGTAAGAGGTTAAGCTTGGCACTATGAAGCAATCCACAGCCTCTGCAGCACAAGTTCAATCCCTGGCCAGCCAGGGAGAAACCCACATGGAGAGGCAGACCTCTCCTGTCTCACCCGCTGCTCCCCTCAGCAGTGTATTTCAGTCAATCTGCCTGTTCTGTTCCCCACTCTGTCTCTGGTGGATCCTCTCACCCCCCTCATCTCTGGCCTGTACTCCAGCTTTTGTATGCATAAATAAACAAATCTTTAATTTTTTTTTTTAAAAAAGAGTTAAAAAGCACACTGGCATAAAAATGTGTGTATAACATATTTTGATCCAAAATAACTGAGTAAAACTATTTAAGGTATCAGCTTTTACTTTCCAAACTCTTGAGATTTTGCCAAAAACTATTCTACAATATCATTAAAGAGAAACTTAACTGAGGACTGTTTACAAATATAAGGTAGATAACAAACTACACAATAAAGCATCATTAGGTAAAAATTCGGGATTCTGATGCATGTACTAGATCTATACATACATTAAATCTTAACAGAAGTTATGTAAAATAAGCCCATGTTCACAGAAAAAAACTCTGTAGGAACAAACATTAAATGTTAATATGGTTGTTGCTAAGAAGGGGAATTAAAAGTGGAAGATACAGTTTATTTTTAAAATACTGGTAGATTCTAATTCGTAATTAGAATCTAATTATATTTTGGAGCACATTAACATTCAAAAATGATCTGGAGGTAAAAAAATTTAAAAGAAGAAGTGGAACACATTGTTTTCATTACAAGGAAATACTCAAAATACTTAGTGAGATAGCAATATCATGCTGTTTGGAGCAAAGAGGCGTGTTTATTTTATTTCCAGCAGTTTGCGATATGCTGGAGGAGTGTTAACCAAATGTAGAACAATTCTGCTAATACAACAGGGGAACCAAGATGAATCAACAAAATCAAAATCCATGTCAACAAAAGCTCATGAACTAGAAGTAAAGATAATAAAATAAAATAAAAATACATGTTTCAGCAACTAAGTACACAATTAAACTAAAAATGTGCTGTAGTACTAACAGTAAATACAGAATGGTGTAAGAACAAGAGAGATTAATTCTAGCTGAATGGAATCAGGGAAGTGTAGACAGAGATGAACATTTCATTGGCTCTTAAAGGATAGGGAGATTTTGGCAATTGAAAGATGAGAGCGGGAAAAACAGGCCAGTTCTTATTGAGGCCTCACCATGTCCCACGTACTAAGTACTTTCAGTAACTCATTCAAACCTCATAAGTCTTCTATAGGGAGACACTATTTTCCTTGTTATAAGCCAGGAAGCTGAAGCTTGCTCAAGCTTGCTCCAGTATATACACAGCTAGTGAGCAGAAGAACCAGGATTGAACTCAAGCTTGTGTTTCTCGTCACTAGGCTATGTTACATCTCTGGGCAAAGAGAAAACATTGGGAAATTATAGCACAAACTATAAACATGGTCACAGAAGAAGGAAACATTCATTTATTGAAGGGCCTCCATGTATCAGTCTGTATTAAGTGCTTTTATTTTTAAGAATTTTCTTTCTTTTTCCTGTGAAATGGTCATTATCATATCTACTTTGAGGATGAGAAACGTAAGGGTTAGATAACAGAACCATCAAAGTCAAAAAAGCAAGTAAGTAGCAAAATAGAAATGTAAACCAGTCTGAGTCCAGTTCTAGGTCAAACTAGATAGTGGATTTACATATAGTATTCCATTTAAGTCCAAATACAACATTGTAAATCTGGTACTATTAATTTTCTCACTTTACATATAAGAAAAAGAAAAATCAGATGAGGTAAGTAATTTTCCCAAGGTCACAGACTGATGACTGAGAAGAAATGGATCCAAAATTTACCCTAGGCAGCATGACTTCAGAGCCGGAATTGACCCTCTGGGTAGATTGCCAGAAAGAGAGTAAACGGAAACCACATCATGGACAACCTCTAATGTTGAACTCAGAATCTATTAGCTGTGCAAACTCAGTGGAGATTTTTGCTATGAAGAACATGATCAAATTATGTTTCAAGTACAAAGTTCTTCAACAGACAAATCAAAATTAAACTCTTGGCACATTAAGTGTAATAGGACATGGTGTACCTTACCTGTACAGCTTTTCAAATAAGTTTTTAGGTTTCGAATTAGGCATATTTAATTTGCCCAAGAAGGTGACCTGTGTGGTTATTCAACAGCACTCACTTATCATCACTCTACCAATTAAGGCGTCAAGTCCCGGCTAGGAGCTGTAATATTTTGCTTAACATAAAATTCGATTTACCCATTATTGTATCTGTCTAGAGAATTCTTTACACAGTGGTGTGGCAAATAAAAGCTGAGTTACAGATAATTGAACCTGCCTTCTAAAAGCAAAACAGGAAGGAGGGGGGCAGTGTTGAATATGGACTGAAATGGGTTACTTTTAATATTTCGTTTTGCCTTTTGGTTAACATGCACAGCATCTTATACCAAATATTATCCCAGGCTAATCAATCAAGAGGCTTGGATTGTCCACTTACAAAACAGGTTCAACATTGCTCAGCGACAAGCAAGCAGAGTCATCCTAACAGCTAGCATCAATTTTTAATGAGTCCCAGAGTCCCCAAAGTCCTTTCTACTTCTTTCCCTGCACTGAGTCCCTGCCTGCCTTTCTCTGTACTTTCTCTGTGCCACATTCCAGAAGACCTCCTCCATCCCACCTCTGAAGAACCCTTGCCAACCCTGTCCATCCAGAGGCGCACACGCAGGTTTCCGGGCGCCTGCTCCGTCTTCCCTCCACGCTCACGTCTCCCCGGGGCTTGCACCCCCCACTCACCAGGTGCAGGGCCAGGGGCAGCAGCAGCAGGAACAGCCACAGGTAGAGGTGGCAGCTGTTGGTGAACTTGCTCTGCTCCGGGTCGTGGTACCAGCCGCCGGTGAGCGCGGCCCACACGCCCTGCCGAAGCAGCTGCAGCACCTGGGAGCCCATGTCGGCGGCGCCCCGGGGCCCGCGCGCGCCCCGCTTTAATACCCGAGCTCCCGGGCGGCACCGCCCCCACCCCCACCACCCCCTTCCGCCCCAAGCCAGAAGCTCGCGCTGCTCTTCTGCCCCGACCCGCGAACCGCGGCGCCGGAGCCCGCTGCTGCCGCCGGGCAGGTGGGCGCCATGTCCGAGGGAGGAAGGATTTTCCCAGGGTGCTCCGCGGCGGCTGCTCAGAAGATGCTCCGCAGGCTCCGCCCCGCGCGGGCTCCAGCCCTTTCACACCAGGGGCGGCGCAGGGAGCAGCGGGAACCCGGGGGTTGGGGGGATGGATTAAAAGGATTTCTGTGCCTCTCCCTCAACCTCTCAGCTTTTCCTTCTTCCCGCTTCCCCCAAGATCTCCCCGCTTTTCACTCAGCTCCTCCTCTCAAAGAGGGGGGAGGGGGGTGAAAGGCTTAAAAATTAATTATGTTCTCATGTAGAAAGGACAAACCAGGGCCTCCCTGTGGGGCAAGGGGATAAGACGCAGCCTATGAAGCTTCCACAGCCTCTGCAGGAGGAGTTGGATCCCACCCACCACCCCCTAGCTGCCCACATGGCGCAGCAGACCTCTCCTGTCACGCCCGCTGCTCCCCTCAGCAGTGTATTTCGGTCAGTCTGCCTGTTCTGTTCCCCACTCTGTCTCTGGTGAATCCTCTCACCCGGCCCACACCTCTGGCCTGTACCCCAGCTCTTGTATGCATAAATAAATTAATAAATCTTTAGAAAAAAGAAAAGACAAACCAGAACAGGAGCCTTTGCCTCTTCCGTATTTGCCTCCTGCACCAAAATAGTTATCTAATTTAAAATCCTGCCACACATCACTCAATGCATTTTCTTCCCCTGGTCACTGCCTGCACAATCTTTCCAGATGTTCTATTTACTGAATGGAGCTCTACCTGTGCCTTTGGCTGACATTTTTCCCTCTCTAACATTTTCCCTTCTTCCCTCTTGTTGTCCAACTTGGCAAATGAAAGAGATACCACCTTCCTGGTATAATTTCTGGAGCCTCAGTTAGTTTACCCATCTTTTATATATTTCCTAGAATACAGTGCCAGGTGTCTATCAACTATTGAGAACATTAATCTAATATTTCTATATTGTTAATAGGTAAGAAGAACCACTAGAAGCTATCACTGAGCTTATAACTTTTAAACTTTCTTAGTAGTTTATAATTTATAGTAGATGACTTCAGATTCTCTTCTGAAAAGAGATTTTGGACAGGGATGATATAAAAAGGAACTCATCTCCTTTAGTAGTATGATATGACACAAAGGAAACTTAGACACCAGGGCTAACAAGAAGCAGGTTTATTGCACTGGTGCTGACTTAGTGTAACCTCCAGTTCACTCTGGAGCAGGACAATCAGAGGGCTCCTTTAGCCTCTCCCTGTCTCTACAATGTATATTTCACCCTTGTTCCCATGGTAGGAAACACTTCAAGGATGCAACATTGAGAAAGTATGGTGTTATTGAAGTATACATGTGTACATTGAAGTATACATATGAAGTATACATGTCACTGAATCTGCATGTCTTGGGGAGGCTCAAGACAAGCCTTGTATATAAGCACTCTCACTTATTAAATCTGGAATGATCTGCCTTTTTTTTTTTCATCCTTTTTGGCCCTCCATGCACAGAGACCAGTTTCATCTTTCAGCCTGTGAACTCCTAAGGTTTCAAACCAACAAATATGGGGTATGTAAGATTTGAGACACTAAAGAAGACACATGTTCATATCTATGAAAGAGGAACCCAAAGAACTGGGTCTTAGAGTAAATATTAGCATCTGGACAGATATATGTGAGTAGCTTGCCAGGAAGACACATCAATGTATAAAGAAAAAGATGCATGGGTGATTCTGGGAAGATGTCAGTATAGTCAGGTATGCCTAAAAGGGAAGACAGGAAAAGGAAGAAATGGGACAGTAGGAAACTTAATAAGAGAGCTGAGCAAGGTTGAGTTTTGTGGGTCTTACTGTAACAGGGTGGTCTCTGGGAAAGGGTGAGGTTCCAGGTTTCCTGCCCCACCCAAAAAGAGGGTGGAGTTGAGCAGAGGGAGAATCTGGAGAGGAGACTGAGGAAGAAAGGAAGTATGATGGAGCCAGAAGGAGACCTGGAGGAGACACATAGAGCTGAGAGACACGTGAAGAAACTGCACTTGCCTTTTGGTCACTTGCCAAAGGCAAGGTGACACAGATGTGGGTGAGAGACCTGTGGGGAGGTGACAATGGCAGTTTTACTCTTGATCTTGATTTTGTTCTTTTCCCCCCAGACTTGTCTGGTTGTTTCTGATCCTTTTCTGTGGGTCCCCACTGGAGGATGCTTTAGACCTCTGGCAGGCTTTGGAGCCTTGCTCTGGGCCAATCCTGCTTTGGTGGACTTTTACCCACGAGGGGAAGGGTAACTTTGGGTGCTTGATTTAGAAACTATATTCTTTGCCTTTCCTGTATTGTTTACTAATTGTATTAAAGTTCCTTTTCATTAAAGTCTCATATGCTTTTGTGTGGATGCAGCGGGTGGCAGACTATTTAGAGCAGGCAGTTTTGGGGGCACTGGGGTGCCCCTCTCCCTGGCCCTGTAACATTACCACCTTATCTTAGGCAATGGACAGCAATTGGAAAGTTTTATTGTTGTTAATATTTTTAATGAAGTTTCTTTGTTTTAAATCCTTGTAAGTATTTTTTTAATAAAGTCTTTCAATTTTTTTTAAAGATTTATTTATTTTTGGGCATCCCCTGGTGGCACAGTTGTAGAGTGCTGGGCTGCAAAGCTGCCCACAGCCTCTGCAGCGTCAGTTCGATCCGCAGCCACCGGTGAGGGTCCCACATGGTGCGACAGACCTCTCCTGCTGCGCTTGCTGCTCCCCTCGGCAGTGTATTTCGTCAGTCTGCCTATTCTGTTCCCCGCTCTGGCTCTGGTGAATCCTCTCACCCTCCTGCGCTTCTGACTGTACCCAGTGCTTTCATAAATAAATAAATAAATCTTAAAAAAACAAAAAAAAAGCATGAAGACCAAGAAAAGACTTGAGCTTTAAAAAAAAAAATTATTTATTTTTATATAACAATTTTGCAGCAGGGACCTTTCTTTGCTGGATACTGTGTGAACCCAGCAGAAGGCTCACCAAGGAGCCAGAGGTAAGCTGGGAGGCTTGCCCATGCCGGGCGCCTTCTAGCCTGCAGTTCCAGCCCAGAGGGGAGCAGCACCCACAGCTGGGGCAGATCGGGCATGCAGGGGAGCATGTTCCCGCATCGCCATTTTGCAGCAGGGACCTTTCTTGCTGGAGACTGTGTGAACCCAGCAGAAGTTCCCCAGAGGAGCCAGAGGTGAGCTGGGAAGGTCGCCCAAGATGCCGGCCAGTACCAGCAACACAGTGTCACAAGGAATATGGCAAATTAGAAAACAGGCAGTAGGGAGTAGAAAAACCACATGCAACCCAGCAACTCCTCAGCAAAAAAGCACACCGCAAAAAGAAAACCATCTACCAGATTGCAACGACAGTAACTTGGAAGAACTTCTGAGCCTTCCAGATAGAGAATTTAAAATTGCTGTGATTAAAAAACTGACAGAAGTCATAAAGGAAAACAATGATAAGGGGAAAATAATTAATGACCAGAAGAATGAAATTGAGTCCCTAAAGAGGGAAGTAAAAGAAATGCAGGAGATGAAAGAATTAATGGAGACGCTAAAGAACTCTGGGAAAAGCAATGAAAGCAGAATAGATGAAATGGAAGAACGAATAATTACTCTTGAAGACACAGAAATAAAAAGAACTAAAACAGAAAAGGAAGGAGAAGTACGAAGGAAAAAGACCGAAGAAAGACTTCGGGAACTATCTGACTCCATGAGGAAAGGAAATATAAGAGTTATAGGAATCCCAGAAGGAGAGGAGAGAGATGTAGGAACAGAGAAAATATTCAAGGATATAATTGAAGAGAACTTCCCAAACGCGAAGAAGGAGCTGAAAATTGATATACAAGAAGCAAGAAGAACACCAAACTTCCATGACGAAAGGAAAAATACAGCAAGACACATAATAGTAAAGCTCCCAAGAATCCAAGACAAGGAAAAAATAATGAAACTAACAAGAGGGAAGAAACAGATAACATTCAAAGGGAAACCAATCAGACTGACATCAGACTTCTCTGAAGAAACACTACGGGCAAGGAGAGAGTGGAGGGACATAGTCAACAGACTCCAAGAAAACAGATGCCAACCAAGAATACTCTATCCTGCAAAGCTCTCCTTCCTCTATGAAGAAAGAATAAGGATCTTCCCAGACAAACAGAAACTCTGGAATTTTATTACGACTAAACCCCCACTCCAAAAAATACTACAAGGAGTCCTAAAGCCAGAACCTCAGAGGGACAAATAACAACAAAAGAAGGCCAAAGAAAGTTATTAAAAGAATAAATAAATAAAATCAAAGGAAAGACAAACACAATGGCAAATACAGATGCTAACATATCAATACTAACTCTAAATGTAAATGGACTAAACTCTTCAATAAAAAGACACAGAGTTGCAGGCTGGATTAAGAAACAAAACCCAACCTTTTGCTGTCTCCAGGAAACACATTTAGCTGCAAAGATAAAAATAGACTCAAAGTTAAAGGATGGAAAACAATTCTACAAGCAAATGGACCAAAAAAGAAGGCAGGAACAGCTATACTCATATCAGATAAAACAGATTTCAAACTTAAAAAGATAAAAAGAGACCCCAGTGGTCATTACATTATGATCAAGGGGACAATACTTCAAGAAGAAATAAGACTCATTAACATATATTCACCAAACGAAGGAGCACCAAAATATATCAGACAACTATTGGCATCTCTGAAAACAGACATCAGAGAAAACACATACGTAGTGGGAGACTTCAACACACCACTATCAACAATGGATAGATCAACAAGACAAAAAATAAGTGAAGACACTAAAGCTCTAAATAAGGATCTAGAGTGCTTGGGCTT